GCCCAGCTCCAGGTTGAGCTGTTGTTCAGCATCTTAGCTGTAGAGGGCAGTGTCACTGGCCCTCATATGTGGGATCCGAACTGGGACCCTCTGGCGTTCCAAGCCAGCTCTTAACCAACGCGCCACTCAGCCGGCCCCATATTTTCATCTTTTATTGAACATATTAATCATAATTCATTTTGAAGTTCTTGTTGATCAATTCTAATATCTGGGTCTGCTTTTATTGTCTATTTTTTTCTTTTGGTCCTTGTCTCTTCACAGAACATGAAAATTTTTATTGGATGCCAAACATTGTTTTAACAACAGAAAAATTGGTAGAGGCTCTAGAAAATGATCTCTTTTAGAAGAGAGGATTCATCCTTTTCTTTGGGCAGGTAGAATGCAGGCCTGGCCACGTTAATCAGTTATAAGTTGAGCTTGAACAAGGTCTGTCTGCAGCATATTCATTTGAATGCCACTATTCATTTTAGCAACTGAAAGTTTTACTTCTTCAATGAAAGTTAACTTAAAAATTTAAAAGATAATAATGAAAGAACTAACTTGTCTTGGTAACTCCATTTCCTTGGTGATCCCAGTCTACTTTGTGCGCACTGCTACCTCCTGCAATGTCTGATTTAATAAATATTAATATATATGTCTCCTTATCTGGTCATAAGCACTTTAAGAACAGGAACTGGGTTTGTTTTCATCAGTAATATTTGTAGCAGGACAGTTCCAGGCCCTGAGTGGAAACTCAATTTGTACAGATACTCTTTCATCTTACATAGGATAGCACAAAAGAAGGCATCCTATATGTCAATTTTTAGTAAACCCTAAAGAGATTAGTTCTTTTAAATCTTTTCCTCATTGTATTATTCTGATGATTCCCTATAGAAAAAGAATACACCATTAAAGGAACCAGTGTCATTCAAAGATGTGTGTGTGGACTTCACCCAGGAAGAATGGTATCTGCTTGATCCTGCTCAGAAGATACTACACAGAGATGTAATGCTGGAAAATTACAGCCACCTTGTTGCAATAGGTAAGATTTTTTTTCCATGTGCCCACCAGTACCATGCATTTCTCAGTTGATGAAACACATGAACTTCCTGTAGAGTTTTTTAATTTGAAGCTTGAGATTCAAGGTCCTGAGATGAATGATCCCTTTTGGTCACGTTTAATAAAGAATGCTGTGTTCTTACCTCTTCAGAGGTTGGTTCATTTGGGCACCTCCTTTGGACAGCTCCTGAAGCTGTACCTTTCTTCCCTATCATTTTTTCAGAGTCCCTAAAGCCAGGCTATGTAGCCATAGCCTTGTATTATTTTCTCTTAACAGGATATTGTATTACTAAGCCAGACGTGATCATCAAGATAGAACAAGGAGAAGAGCCCTGGATATTAGAGCAAGGATTCCCAAACCAGTGCTGCTTGGGTGAGTTCACGAGTTCACAGACAGATGGAAGCCAGAGGAAATGGGATCTTAGGCCATTGGATTAGGGTTTATTACCTTTCAAATATTTTTTAGGAATTTCTTTCTGTAGCCCCAGACTTTTAGAAGTGACTAAGCAACAGATGGCCCACATCCCTCTATGACCTTAATCACATTCCTCCATATGTCATTTTCCCTCATAAATGCTTTCCTTTGTTCTTTAACATTTTAAGAGTGATTTACCTATACCTGTCATTCAAACTCAGTTGGCTTCATCTTAGATAATTTTTCTTGATAGTGTATCTTTTAGAATTGTCCACCTTCCCTCTGTTGTCTTTGGACACCTTTTGTTAGCTGGTATGTTTTCATGCAGTGCTTCCATAATCACTCACTATGATCCAGTTAGGTTTTTAGGTAATTAAAAGAATAATGTCCCTGCTATCAAAATGTATATTACAGTGAGGGACAAAAAGCATGCATGCATGTGTGTGTGTAGATATATGTGCGTGTGTGTACATACAGTGTTGGGTACTGTAAAGAGAGTTAAAACAGTGGAAAGGGGGATGAGGATTGATGGCATGTGCTCTTTGGTAAGCAAGTCAGAGAGAGCCTTTCTGATAAGTTCAGGAGAGGTGAGACTAATGACATGAGAAATGTGACTGAGGATTCTGAGTATTTCAGGCAAAGGGAACATCAGGTACTGAACTCCTCAGACAGATGTGTTCTTTTCTCTCTTTTTCTTTTTAAAGATTTTATTGGGGAATTGGAGGAGGGGAACAGCGTTGGGGAATCGGGGCAGGAGAATAGACAAGTTGCTGTCCTTTTGTTCCTCAGTCTAGTTGCGGAGGACGTCACTTCACTGGCCCATGTTGGTATTATCATTGTGTTCTTCCCGGGTGAGGCAATCGCTCACGGGCCATTGGATGGCCGCCCACGGCGGCTCATGGCTGCTCACAAAAGTGCACGCCAGCTGCCAGTCAGCCCCACTGCAGCCTATGCCATTGCCAGTGACTCACGGCAGCCCAGCTCCAGGTCGAGCTGTTGTTCAGCATCTTAGCTGTAGAGAGCCCAGCATCACTGGCCCTCATGTGGGATCTGAACTGGGGCCCTGCTGCTCAGAGCTGGTGTCCCAAGCCAACTCCTAACCAACGTGCCACTCAACCGGCCCCAGACAGATATGTTCTTAGGGTGTTTGAAAGATGGCAAGGGGGCCAGCATGGCTGGAGACAAGTGGGCGTGGAGAAGATTGATAGGAGATGATATCATAAGTAGCATGGACCATGGTAGATATGTTAATTTTATTTGCGTGATGCGAGAAAGTCATGTTTTTCATGTTTTGGTTTTTTTGTAAGTGTAAATCAGATTAAGACATCAGATCTGATTTATAATTTAAAAGGGTCTGCCTGACTTCTGCACAGCGAGTACACTGTGGCGGGTGGGTGGTGCTTAGGCATGAGCAAGGGGGGAGTACCAGTTAGGTGCTCCAGTAAGTAGGCTGTTAGGTGCTCCAGATAGGAGAGGATAGTGGCTAAGGCTGTTCTGGAAGTGCTAAGCAGTGGCAGATTTGTACAGAAATCTGGAAGGTGAGAGCAAGAGGATTTGCTGTTGGATTGAATGTAGAGTGTGAGAGAAAGAGAGGATGCAGGCACGACTCTAGTGATTTGTCTCCAGCATAAAGGATGAATTAGGGTGCCATTTACTGAGATAGAGAAAATTAGAGAGGAGAGATTATAGGGCAATTATTACAAATTTACATTTGGACTCAAGAAGCTTGAGATAACTTAAAACCTAGCCCAGTGTATTGAGTAGGAGGTTGGATATATACAAGTATGGAGTCCAGAACCAGAAGTAGCCATCTGAAAGGCATCAGTCCCAGACGGTGTCAGAGGCGTGGGCTGAAGGACACCTTTTAGATCAGATGCTGCAAACTTTTAGAAGGCTGGATAGTAAATATTTTTTACTTAGTGGCCACATGTGTCTTTAGTTGCCACTGCTGCTTCTCCTTTCGCCTCTTTCTTCCACCTCTTCAGTGTTCCTGACTGCCTCTTCCATCTTTTTCCCTCCAAACGTGTAAAACCATTCTTAGTTCAAGGACCATTGCTTGCAGGCATAGTTTGCTGACTCCTTTTCTAGAGAGTGGTTGGGAGAGAAGTAGTCTTGGTGTAACACTTTTACAAGGCTGTAAATCCGTTAGATCTTAGCATTGGAGGAGACTGATTGACAAGGAACAGACTGTGTGACATGAAAACCAGACAGCCTGCTTTCTAGGAGTTCAATAGGGATTGTCTCTACCTGTTAACCACCTTAAGTGGTGACCTGGGTCACTCTACTCAACCTGTTATCCCTTCCTGCCAGTCTCTTCAGACACCTGTGGTTGTTTTCTTTTGAAGACCACCTTCTACATCTCTTCATTTTCCCACTTTTCACTGATATCACTTAAAATCAGATCTGTGTCTGCGTTTTTGCATTCCTGGCTTGATCTAATTCCTAAATGGTTTTTTTTGTTTGTTTTTGTTTTTACCTAAAGCATCCAGTGTATCTTTTACTAGCCTGATAAAGTTGCTCCCTATTAATAAATGAAATTAAAGTTGTCTTTTATTGACTATTATGTTGTGGTCCTATTCTACCTATCTCTGTTGCTTGCACACCATGTTTTGAATTTGTTTCACCCTCCCTAGCTTGCCTCTTATAGCATTATGAAAAATAATTATTCCTTGTGAATTAAATTAAAGCAAAATCTAGATCCTGGGTTATAGGACTATTCTTTTGAACCTGAGGAAGCTGGTGTTTTCAGAAATTTAGTTTGGTCTTGATGTGTAGAGTCAAGGTATGTACTCTAGTAGGAATCCTACTCCAATAATCTGTGTATGAGGGGATTAGGACTAAACTATGCTCTGTCTACCAAACACAGTTCATCCTCTGAAAGCCCTTGTCTACTAATCTTTACTGTCATTTTATTTGGTGTTTAATGTCTCTTTTGGGTTCACCCCATTTTCTGAGTTTCCCTGTCTCTGAATCAGCCACTCCCCAGTTCCCTGTGCTTTGAATTTCATTTCCTTTTTTCTGTTTAGTTTTGAAGGTTATATTTCAAAAGTATTAAATGTCATTGCCAGTTTCCTTTCCTTGTTCCCACTGAAGCATGTATTTTCCACTGAAACTAGAAGGGTAAAGGAAATGCACACTTGGATTTAGTTCACACCAGGAAATTGAGCCTAAAACAAAGAATTGATAGTGTAATTGGGCATTTGTGTAAAAGTCCAATTCCATTAGAAATGTACTGGATTCATAAGATGTGGTTATTTTTCTCATTTCTAGAAGACTGGAAAGTTGATAACCTGATAGAAAGCAGCCAGAAAAATCAAGATGAACATTTTTGTCAACTTGCTTTCACCACCAACAAAACATTAAGTATAGATGGTGGTGACAGAGTAAAGAAAACTTTCAGTCTGGGTGCAGACTGTGTTCCTTCAAGAAATTTTCCATATAAGATATGTGATTCATGTGAAATGAGTTTGAAGACTATGTCAGGCTTAATTATTAATAAAAACTATTGTGGAAAGAAGCCTGATGAATATAATGTATATGAGAAATTGCTTCTTGATATTAGGTATGAGAAAACTCTTACTGGAGGGAAATCTTATAATCAAAAAACAAATATCCTCAGTCATAGCCAAGATCTCACTCAGCTAATTTTTGACCAGCCTTTTAAATATAATGAAAATGGACAGGGCTTCCATGAGGAGGCAGCCTTTTTCACAAACAAGAGAGCTCAGATAGGGGAGACACTCTGTAATTATAATGAATGTCAGAGAACCTTCATCCAAAGTTTAAAGCTCAATTTATCTCAGAGAACTCATTTGGAAATGGAGCCATATGAATGTAGTATTTGTGGGAAGTCCTTCTATATGGATTTAAGATTGGGACACCAGAGTGCTCTGACAGGGCAGAATCCTTATGACTATAATGAATATGGGCAAATTTTCTGTGACAGTTCAAGTTTGATTATCCATGAAGGAACTTATGCAGGAAAGGTTCCCCATGAATATAAAGTAAGTCACAAAACGTGGATAAAGTCAGCCCTCTTTAAACATCGGATAGTGCACATGGGGGATAAACCTTACGAGCACAAGGAAAATGGAAATTTCAACAAGAAGTCACATTTCACCCAATCTCGAAGAGCTCACTCAGGAGAAAAAACATTCGAATGTGCTGAATGTGGGAAAACATTCTGGGAGAAGTCGAACCTCACTCAACATCAGAGGACACACACAGGAGAGAAACCTTATGAATGTACTGAATGTGGGAAATCCTTTTGTCAGAAACCACATCTTACCAACCATCAGCGAACACATACAGGAGAAAAACCTTATGAATGTAAGCAATGTGGAAAAACGTTCTGTGTGAAGTCAAACCTTACTGAACATCAGAGAACTCACACAGGAGAGAAACCCTATGAATGTAATGCTTGTGGAAAATCCTTCTGCCACAGGTCAGCTCTAACTGTACATCAGAGAACGCACACAGGAGAGAAACCCTTTATATGTAATGAATGTGGGAAATCTTTCTGTGTGAAGTCAAACCTCATTGTACATCAAAGAACTCATACAGGGGAGAAACCTTATAAATGTAATGAATGTGGGAAAACCTTCTGTGAGAAATCAGCTCTCACTAAACATCAGAGAACTCACACAGGGGAGAAACCCTATGAGTGTAATGGATGTGGGAAAACCTTTAGTCAGAGGTCAGTACTCACTAAACATCAGAGAATTCACACAAGGGTGAAAGTTCTCTCAACATCCTGAATGTTCAGAAACCTTCATCTACCCTTTCAAATTCATTATACAAAATTTTTAAATGAGATTAGTGAAACGCAAAAAACCCAAATTACTAAAAAGTGACATCTTATTGTACTCAGATAATACTAGAATAAAACCTTATTCATGTTTTAAACATGTGAAAGCTTTCAAGAAAAATTAAAACGTTTCATCAGAAAATTTGTACTGAGAGGAAATTCATTAAGTAATGTAAAAATTTTCATCTAGAAATTGTTGTGTAGTTTCATATTCCAGATGTGATACCAAAATTTTATTGTAAATATAATGGGTGATATTCATTTATACCAATAATCACAATGTAATTTGAAGCTAAAAAAATGTTGAATGACAGCAGCATTAAACTTTATGTGAAGAGTCCCTAATGTTTGCAGGCCTTATGTGAGTATGCCAATATAACAAATTTGAGGTATGCTTGATTTGTATATCAGAGCCCAACATGCTTTTGAAGAGAAAACATGAACACTTAGTTAAGTATTATGGTCTATATTAATATTTCACACACTAAATACCACCAGTGTCTTTATAGGCTGACATAATTATATATATACATATAAATGTATTTATACACACAGTGGTGTGATAGCCTAAGCTCCTACTGGCTTGTGAGTACCGCTGATTGTTAAATTTTCAGGAATTTTGTGAGCCAGTTGTTAAACACAGTCATTATTTAAAAATTAAATTATATTAAAAACAAAGGTAATAAATATTAAACATTCATCACTTCCTAATTATTTTATAACATTTCGCTATTTTCTTTGTTCTTTAGGTTACTTATATTGAATCTGCATGGAAAAAATACTGTATAATGGTGTGCTACTGCACTTCTCTTCCCACCTCTGTATTCAGTGCCGTCATGTTGGTAGCTTGGCTTTAATGGGAGTATTTACACCACGGAAACTGGCAAACTACAATTGAGGGTTTTCATTTTCTCAGTGAACCTATTGTCCAATATTTACCAGCACACCACTGTGGGTATAAGAAAATATATTTGGAAAATTTAAAGTACAAACCACATACCCTTTCTCCTATTTGCTGACATAAATACATGACTATGACCATTACTGCTGAGCTGTTTCTTCAATAAAGAAGCCAAAATATGTTTTTGTGAGGTTTTTAACTACCTCTGCATCAGCTCTATTTTCAGTACTTTCTGAGTCACTTTAGAGTGTGGCCAGTATGTATTATTTTACATTCACATCACCTAGCTTTCCTCTGACTTTTTTTGCATATATGAATGAGTATGACCTTAATTACTGAACTACCACTTCCATTTAAAAGCCAAGTAATATTTTTCTGAGTTTTTTCAGCTGCTCCTGGGTCTGTCAATACTGTAAATGCTGTTAATAACAATGATACATAAATTTCACAAAGGTTAACATCAGTTATATAGAGTAATACTGCTGTCTACAAATAAAAAATAATGGTGTGTAATGAAATGCCTCTTACATACCCTTGGTATTTCGTTGCTGTATCTATCTATTTAGGCATGATATGCATAACCTGAGTTGTATGTAATCCAAGAACTGTGTTTGTATTTCATATTATAGAGTTCCATATTCTGTCCCTGTTGCCTTTGTCCTCCTGTTTCTTACGCTTCCTTGCAATGTGTTGATAAGCAGTTTCAAGAGACTCTACTTACTTGGCTCTATTTTGTCTTTGTCCATGCTTCCCCAGATGATTTAGGGTAAATCCAGATTAGTCTGAGCTAATCATGGAGATTCTATTCTAATGATTTTATTGGAATGGATATGTGAGCAGTGAGATGTTTGGAAAATATTCTGCAGTGCTTCAGGGAAAGAGCTAAACAATAAAATATTGTCATGACACGAGGAGACATGAGAAGAGATTGATTGTCTCTATTCTGCTGGAATTTTTCACATCTGTACGTTATGCCAGATTATAGTCTGTGGCCCTAAAGGGTAATAGCCTGAAGATAACAGTACACAAGATGGGAAAAGCCTGGCTCAGAGGTGACATCACTGAGCTAGACAACTCCATCTGGATCAGCTCTCTATTAGGACCTTATATATTACTGCGATAATAATGATTTCTTTTTTTTTTTTTTTTTTTAAGATTTTTATTGGGGAATTGGGGGGATGGGAACAGTGCTGGGGAATTGGGGAAAGGGGAACAGACAAGTTGCTGTCGTTTTGTTCTTCAATCTAGTTGTGGAGGATGTTGCTTCACTGGCCCAAGTTGGCACCATCATTGCGCTCTTCTCTGGTGAGGCAGATCAGTCACCGGCTTCTGGACGGCCGCTCACTGCGGCTGCTGGCCGCTCACGCTGGCTGCTGGCCACACACGGTAGCCCATGGCAATCCACTGCTACAGAGACTGCAGCCCACGCCGTCACCGGCGACTCATGGCAGCCCAGCTCCAGGTTGAGCTGTTGTTCAGCATCTTAGCTGTGGAGGGCAGTGTCACTGGCCCTCATATGTGGGATCCGAACCGGGGCCCTCTGGCATCCCAACCGAGTTCTTAACCATCGCGCCACTCGGCCGGCCCAATAATGATTTCTTATTCATAGGGCTGTCTATTACTTAGAGCTGAAGGCATTCCCCCTGATACAGACAAATTCTTTTCTAAGTGTTGATGTTCTATATAGCGATTTGGGGGAAGAATTACTTCTTTTGACAAGTTAATATAGGGATGGGTCTTTGTATCAGCCACGGTTCTGGTGAAAAACAGAATTTGAGAAGATTTTAATGGCAGACTTATACAGCAGTGTGGGCCAAGAACAAGGGACATTGAAGCATTGAGAGACTAACATCGCCAGGAAGCTATTACCATTCTAAATGCTAAAGGGGCAAAGCTGCTGTCTTGGAGGAGGGACCACCTCGTGGGAGATATTGTCAGCACTGGAATTGTGGCATCAAATTGCTGGTGCCTCCCTTTGGAGAACCCAAACAGATGCCATCTTCAAGTGAGCCCAAGTGGGCACACAGGAGGTCTGGGTGGAGCCAATGGAGAATAAACAGCACATATTTTTTATTCCTGTAAATTCCTATGTAAAGGCTCAATATTAGAAACTTATTCTACTAGTTGAAAGTTAAGTGTTTCTGCTTTGTTGTGCTATTGTGTCATAAGTAAATTCCTTTTGGAATTGAGCACTGTGGCAGGTATGTCTATGACATGTGTGAAGTAGACATGCAAAATTGCATTTTGCATACATCCATCTGTGGTGTTTCTTGTAACATGTGATATGAGGTGAGCAGCTCACTATTCTAAATAAATAGTCAGTTGCCCCTGCACTGTTTGATTAATTCACCCTTTTTCTTGTTGGCTTGATGTGGGATTTTTACCATGTCCTTGCAGGACATTTGGTCCTGTCCAAAACATCCACTGAGACATTTGGTCCACATCAAAAGGTCCTTGGTATTTTGACCTATACAAAGCATCCATTGAAACATTTGGTCCATGATTTGTTAAGTAATACTCTTAGAAACATTTAACTTTATTAAAATTTTATTATTTTATTGTAATTCATGACAAATTTGGATTTGACATTTATTTTTGTTCTTCCTTGTCATGAAGTTCACCATGGTTACTCGTAAGTCAATGATCAGTTGCTCTAAGATGTATATCAGCCTGATTATTGGCTTTATATTTGTTATATCAGTTAACAGTTTTGGTTATACAAATTTGATTTGTCAGTATCATCATGAAGTTGGTGAGTGTATTTGAGTATGACCATCAAGAGCCTGGGTGATAACTTGTTTATTGCTTTGCTGTTTATCTTTCTTTTTTTTCTTTTTTCTTTTTTTTTTTTTTTTAGCTGAGCCATCCTGCCACCTGTTGGCAGCTCAGCTCGGGCCGGGCATGGAACCGCTGTTGCTCAGAGCTCAAACTCTTGAGCGAGCTCTTAACCAACTGAGCCACTCGGCCGGCCCCTTGCTGTTTATCTTTTAACACTTTAGTAAATCTCCAAATGGAAGGATGATGTACACCATCAGTTTTGAAATTTGCTTCGTCAGCCTTCCACGGTGGTGTTTATCCTTTACTCACCCTTCAGTACTGATCTGTAAACATTCCAGGTTTCTGGTGGATATCTTGGAGCTTCTGGTCTTCTGCCTCTGCTATGCCTTCCTCAGACATACCCCCTCTCAACATAATCCACTAGGTCATCTAATTTTTTTCTGCAGTATCCACAATGTACTTAAGAGTTTCATTTACATCTTCCAAATGCACAAATGGAAGTCCCAGCAACATGGATGCAGTTATGGGTGTTACTCTGCGTTGTCATATACACATGTGTTAGACCCAAAATAAGATATTTTCCATCACAGTGGTTGTGAAACAAGCATCCTTGTGCATTTTGTAGTAGTCAAATCACATTCATATTTGCAATCTTGAATTCTGTCATGCACAATGAATGGGTTAATGTGTTTTCTTTCCTGTGCAAATGCAAGTATATATGCATATCTGTAAGTGTCTTCTCGTCTTTCTGTTGTTAGGGCATAAATCAGTGGCATACTATAACCCAATACTGCACTGTATACCGTAAATAACTTAGTGAACTATGTTCGTGCTATCATTGAATAATGTGGTACTGGCACTTAAATATTGAATATTGTCCTAAGTTGTGCAAGTAAGAATTCTTTCATCATTTTGAGCACCAGAATTGTGCATAAGAAGTGGTTCTCTGCATCTGGTCACTTTATACTCCTGTAATTACAATTCCGTGCAATGAAATTAGGTTTGGGGGTCAATGTCTATTTTGAATTCTTTACTTGCCCCTTGAATGAGTTTCTCTCTGGTAGCATTAACAGGACCTCTTCATCATAAATATCATGGAGAGTTCTTTGAAGTACCTGTGATAGTATTACATTTGGTTCTAATGCATGTTGTTTTAACTTATTTAGGGTTTTTCCTTACTTCCCCTTCAATACCCCTTCAATGTTCTGTTGATGTTTTCCTTTCCCATCTTAAATGATTGTTAATGTTATCCAAATCCTGACTACATCTTGCATTGTAGATTCTCCTATCTTCACAGTGTTAGTACCTTTACTGCTGTGTCTGTTAAAGGAATGGAAATGGCAACAAAAACCATTATAATGTAGCATTGGCTTTTCTTTATGTGAGTATACTATTTCTGCCATATTCTGCTAAGAATTTTCAAATAAAGATGTCATATTGCCAAGCAACAGAAGAAGGGTTTTTTGGGGTTTTTTTGTGTTGTCTTCCTAGCTTTCTGACCAATGATTGCTGGTTTACTGCTAGGGGAAATCTTACTAAAGTCTCACAGATTTGACACCCCGTTCACCTGGACTAGATCAGCCAGTAGGTAGGGACCAGGCAAGGGCATAGTCATCATGCTGATTGTCAGGTAAGTGTGGAAGTCACACCCACTAAAACCCCTCCAAATAGTGGCAGACTCTTCTTGCAGTCTACCACAGTTATAATTCTATACAACATCAATTCAAGGGAAACATCAGACATTAAACCTGAACAATGGGATAGTTATAGGGTGGTTTATTAGATACCTTGTATTCCCCCCATGTAAACTATTAAACCCAGCTGCTATGTGGTAAGAGCCACACCCATTCTCATGCCTGAACAAGCCAGATGCTTTATTTGACTAAGCTTCTCCTTATTGAACAACAAACAGCCATATCCAACAAGATGCCCAGTGACATATTAACAGTGCTGTGCCTCAAGAGATCCCACCCTTGACTTGTCATTCTCTGTGCATTTCTCTTAATTGTACTACTCTTCCCCACTACATATAATTAAATCCTGCTCTCCTGCAAGATGTGAACCCCAACTCATCTACCTAACCCTATGTGCCATTACCATCTAGCATACCAAGGCAAGAAGGGTTATTATTGGCAATACAGCCACAACACAACCATTGGACCAATAAAACATGATAGTATTTTTTCATGTATTAATCCTGTAAACCAAAAGTATAAATAAATATTAGGGGCTATTTGAACCTAGGATGTTTTCTAAGCATGAACTTTTTTCACAGGACCAAATATGCTGATGGATGTTTTTGATAGGATAGATTTCAAGACATTCTGGTGTGGACCAAATGTCTCAATGGATGTTTTGGACAGGACCAAATGTCCACTAATCTTATCATGTACTTAAATTTTATGTAGTGGCAATTGCTTTTGTCTGCTCAATGCAATTTTTTTTTTAAGATTTTGGGGAATTGGGGGAGGGGAACAGACAAGTTGCTGTCCTTTTGTTTTTCAGTCTAGTTGTGGAGGATGTCGCTTCACTGGCCCATGTTGGTATTGTGATCATTGTGCTCTTCCCGGGTGAGGCAGATCAGTCGCCGGCCAATGGATGGCAGCTCAAGGCAGCTCACGCTGGCTGCCGGCCACTCACGGTAACTCACTGCAGCCCCATTGCAGCCTATGCTGTCACCGGCGACTCACGGCAGCCCAGCTCCAAGTCGAGCTGTTGTTCACCATCTTAGCTGTAGCGGGCATAGCGTCACTGGCCCTCAGGTGGGATCTGAACTGGGGCCCTGCTGCTCTGAGCTGGCATCCCAAGCCAACTCTTAACCAATGCACCACTCGGCCGGCCCAAATTGGTTCTTAATATCCTGTCCTATACCTGGAGTCCATAGCTTGGGACCTTCTCTGGGCTCAGTTTTCTTATCTACAAAATAGGGGTAGTTACCCCCATCTGAGAGAATGAGCTTTACCATGAGTTTATTTCCAATAACACACAGCTGGGGTAGCAATACTTATACAAGATGAAATAGACTATAACAAAAGCTATACCTTGCAAGAGACAAAGAAGGATCTAGTAATCCCACTCCTGGGTATTTATCAAAAGAAACCCAAAACACTACTTCAAAGGGACATGTATATCCATATGTTTTCATTGCAGCATTATTTACAGTAGGAAAGATACGGAGGCAACCTGCATGTCCATCAATGGATGAATGGATAAAGAAGATGTGGTACCTACATACAACGGAATATTAGCCATAAAAAAGAATGAAATCTTGCCATCTGCAACAACCTGGATGGACCTAGATGGAGGATATTGTGCTGAGTTGAGTAAGACAGACAAATGCTGTGTGATTTCACTTATATGTGGAATCTAACAAACAAACAAAACAGAAACAAATAGACACAGAGAACATTTTGATGGTTGCCAATGTAAGAGGCATTGGGGGGTTGGTGAAAAAGGGGAAGATATTAAGTTGTTAGGTACAAAATAGTCATGGGGATGTAAAGTATAGCATAAGAAATATAGTCAATAATATTGTAATAACTATGGTGTCAGATGGATTCTAGATTTATCAGGGTGATCACAAGTTATATAAAAGTCTAATCATTATGTTGTCCATTGAAACTAATACAATAGTATGTCAATTGTAATTGAAAAATTGAAAATGTTAATAAAATAAAAAAAGAAACTGAAGAAGATCCAATTAAATGGAAGCATTTACCATGCTCATGGATAGGAAGAAGTACATAGTTAAAATGCCTATACTGCCCAAAGCAATCATAAATTCAGTGCAATCCCTATCAAAATACCTATGGCATTTTTTCACAGAACTAGAACAAACCATCCTAAAATTTGTATGGAACCATAAAAGACCTTGAATAGCCATGGCCGTCTTGAGAAAGAACAAAGTTGGAAGTATCATGCTACCTGATATCAAACTCTACTATGAGGCTATAGTAATCAAAACAGCATGGTATTGACAGCAAACCAGACACACAGAGACATAATAGAGAGCCCAGAAATAAACCCACATCTATATGGTCCTTTAATCTATGAGAAAGGAGGCAAGAATATACAATGGGGTAAAGGCAGTCTATTGAATAAGTGATGTTGGGAAAACTGGACAGACACATGCTAAAAAAGAAAAATGAAACTGGACCACCTTACACCATATACAAGAATAAACACAAAATGGATTGAAAACTTAAAAGTCATACCCAAATTCATAAAACTAGAAGAAAACATGGGCAGTAAACTCACTGACATTGTTATTAGTAATTTTTTTTCTGATATATCACTTCAGGCAAGAAAAACAAAAGAAAAGATAAATAAATGGGACTATATCAAACTAAAAACTTTTTGCACAGCAAAGGAAACCACCAAAACGAAAAGATAACCTGAATGGGAGAAGATATTCACCAATGATACATCTGATAAGGGGTTTATATTCCAAATTTATATAGAACTCATACAATGGAATATTACTCTGCCATAAAAAGAATGAAATCTTACTATTTGTGACAACATGGATGGACCTAGAGGGTATTATGCTAACTGAAATCAGTTAGATTGAGAAAGACATACCATATAATCTTATGTGTGGAATCTAAAGAACAAGATAAACAAAATAGAAGCAGACTCATAGATACAGAGAACAAACTGATGGTTGCCAGATAGGAGGGGATTTGGCAGGCTGGGTGAAAAAGGTGAACAGATTTAAGAAGTACAAATTTGTAGTTATTAAATAGTCATGGGGATATAAAGTACAGCATAGGGAATATAAGCAATAACATTACAATAACTATGTTTAGTGCTAGATGGAAAAGACTAAATTGGGGGATCACTCCGTAAATTATGTAAATGTCTAACCACATGCTGTTCACTGGAAACTAATATAAAATAATATTAATTGAAAAGTTAAAAAATGAAATTGGTCTTGGCAATGATTTAGATATACCACCAAAAGCACAAGTCATAAAAGCAAAAATCAACAAGTAGGACTATGTTAAACTAAAAAGCTTCTACATGGCAAAAGAATCAAAATGAAAAGGGAACCTACAGAACTGGAGAAAATGTTTGCAAACCATATATCTGTTAAGGGATTAATACCCAAAACATAACAGGAATGCATACAACTCCATAGGGAAAAGAAAAACATAATCTGATTAAAATATGAATACAGGAACTGAATAGACTATTTTTTTTAAGATTTTTTTTTTATTGAGGAATTGGGGAAGGGGAATATTGTGCTTTTCCAGGACCCATCAGCTCCAAGTCCAGTTGCCACTTTCAATCTAGTTGTGTGTGTGTGTGTGGGGGGGCAGCGCAGCCCACCATCCCATGTGGGAGTCAAACCTGCAACGTTGTTGCACACTGAGCCATACAGCCTCCCCTCCGCAGCTTGCAGCTCCTCAGCTCAAGGTGCCATGTTTAGTCTTAGTTGCTGGGGGTGGGGAGGAGAGGAGGCCCCAGCCCACCATCCCATATGGGTGTTGAACTGGAAACCTTGCTTCCAAGAGCACATGCTCCCACTAGCTCAGCGGCAGCTCAGCTCGGGTGCAGCTCACTGGCCCATGTGGGAATCGAACCAGCGACCCTGTTGCTCAGCGCTCGCGCTCTTAACCAACTGAGCCACTCGGTGGCCCCAGGGAATAGTTGTTTTAGAGAAAGCAATCACTAAGAAAATAACTGAGAAAAATAATGAAATCATTAAAGAATAAACAACCTGGTTACTCCATATAATGGAATATTATTCATCAATAAAAAGAAACACTATAGGGCCGGCCAAGTGGCGCGATGGTTAAGAACTGGCTTGGGATGCCAGAGGGCCCCAGTTCAGATCCCACATATGAGGGCCAGTGACACTGCCCTCCACAGCTAAGATGCTGGACAACAGCTTAACCTGGAGCTGGGCTGCTGTGAGCCGCCGGCAACGGCATAGGCTGCAGCCCCTGTGGCAGTGGGTTGCCATGGGCTACCATATGTAGCCAGCAGCCGCAGTGAGCGGCCGTCCAGAAGCCGGCGACTGATCTGCCTCTCCAGGGAAGAGCTCAATGATGGTGCCAACTTGGGCAAGTGAAGCAACGTCCTCCACAACTAGACTGAAGAACAAAACGACAGCAACTTGTCTGTTCCCCTTCCCCCAATTCCCCAGCACTGTTCCCATCCCCCCAATTCCCCAATAAAAATCTTTAAAAAAAAAAAGAAACACTATAAAGCCATGAAAAGAAATTGAGGAACCTTAAGTGTATATTGCCAAAAGAAGGTAGCAAGTAATTGAAATTAAAAAAAAATCATTAGATGGGTTCAGTAGCAGAATGGAGATAACATAGGTGAGTCAGTTAACTTGAAGATAGATCAATAAAAGCTACCCAGTATGAGGAAGGGGGAGAATAATGACCAAAAAAAACAAACAAAAAAAACATTTTATGAACAGAGAGACCTGTAGGAAAATAAAATGCCTAACATTTAGTCCTAGAAGGGAGAAGAACAAGTTTGTTGTTTTAAAAAAAAATTGGCATATGATATAAACCTACTGTCTCAAGAAGGTTAGTGAATCCCTAATAAGATAGACCCAAATAAATACATATCTAGATATATCATAATGAAAATGCTGAAAACCACAGACAAAAGTAAAATATTACCCATAAGGGAAGAATGATTTGAATAACTACAAATTTCTCATAAACAGAAATGATGGAGCCCCGGAAAAAAGTGGCACATTTTCAAAGTGCTGAGAGAGCTGTGAACCTGGAATTTTAAATTCAGAAAAACTATCCTTCAGAAATGAAGGTGAAGGGCCGACTGAGTGGCTCAGTTGGTTAAGAGCTAGCTCAAGAGTTTGAGCTCTGAGCAACAGCAGTTCGAATCCTGGCCCGAGCTGAGCGGCTGAAGAGCTGCCAACAGGTGGCAGGATGGCTCAGCTTAAAAAAAAAAAAGAGTTACTGGGAGAAATGAAGGTGAAATAAAGACATTATCAGCTGAGGAAAAACTAAGAGAATGCATTGCATATTAACCTGCATTTAAAAAATTGCTAAAGGAAGTTCTTTAGACAGGGTAATGATAGAAAAAATTTTGTACCTTCACAATCAAGAAAGAGCAACAGAAATAATAAATATCTAGGTAAACATAATGGACCATTCTCTTCTTGAGTTCTTTAAAACATGTTTGACATTTGAAAGTAAAATTATAATATGGCCTGATTGATTTTTAATACCCGTAGGTGTAACATAGAACAGCACAGTGGGAGAAGAGAACCTATATAGTGAGAAGATTGTTGTTTCAATTCAGGAAGTAAAACACTGATTCTGCATAGTTTGTGAAAAGTTAAGTGTGTATTTTGTATTTCCTAGTGCAACCCTCTAAAAAGTATATAAACAAATAATAGTCAAAATTACAACATATTAAAAAGTGCAATACTAGAATATTTTTGAATAACCCAAAAGATGGCAATAAAAGGGGAAACAGATATAAACAATAGAAGGCACAAAGAGAAATTAAATACTATAATAGACCTAAAACAATATATCAATAACATTAAATGTAATTGGTCTAAACAGATTAATTAAAAGACAAACTCTCAGAATGAATAAGAAGTTCAACTATATGTAGTCTACAGAAAACTCCCTTGAAAATATAATTGATGTAGGTAGATGAAAAGTAAAAAAGACTTTTGAAAAAGATACACCATTGTATGAGAATTTAGAAGGAAAAAGGCCTGCCTGGGGTCATATGATTGGATTCATGGCTTAGGTATGCACTTACTCCCTGGAGGATTGGCTACCCTCCAGGGATGTAAGGAACGAGATGTGGAGCTCTCCCAAGGTCTTCGAGACTGGGCTGAGCTCCAAGGATGAGTCCTAATCAGTGCCATGGGCTAGTCCCGGCTCCTGGCCAGATCCGGGGCTGGTCCTAATCAGTACCATGAGCTAGCCTCAGCTCCTGGCCAGATCTGGGGCTGGTCTCTATTGCTTATGCATATGCCATTTGGCTCTAAGCCGCCTTTGTTAGAAAACCCTTAAGAAGCCCAGGAGGCAGGGATGAGCAGCAGCTCTTCCTCAACAGATTCCACTGTGTTATTGCCTGTGATGCTCAGATTCCGGTGCTGAACTGCCCGTGATGCTTTGATTCCAGTGCTGAATTGGATAAAGGGGCCCTGGTGGTATGATGTAACTATTTTTCTATTTCCCTTGTGACTATTTGCTTACTATTTCCCTTAGCTCTTTCCCTGTTAACAATAAACCTCTTATCTACCCCAAGTGACTTGTGGTGGTGTGTCTTGCATATGGAACCCCAAAATAGAACTCAGCCCGTGCACAGCTATCGATACAGATTAATTATTGATACAAATTGGCGTCACGAACAGGATATGCACAACCAGGGAAGCAATGCCCTTGTTTAAAAAGAAAAGTGAAGTTTTATGTGTGACTTGTGATATTCTCGGCTGGGAAGACGCCCAGTTCTCCTCACTGGCTAGAGAATGGGCCTTAAGGACTGGTCTTAATGAGAACTGGGACGGGAAGTTACAGACTGCTGATCCACCTCGGGTGGTAGAAGTTCTTAAAACCGTCCCTGTTGAGAAAGGAGGGGAGCTGATGGCTGTCGCTCGCCATGGATGGATTTTGTTGACTGCTTATCACCGAATGTGTCAACATGTAAATGGTTTGATTGAGGAAAAATGTGCTTTAGAAAAAGAAACTGCTGATTTGCACAGCAAGCTTACTATGTTACAATGTCAGAATTACATATTGGGTGACCAGGCGCGTGGCTATCAAACTGTTGCTGAGAAGGCGGCTGTCCGCTATGCTCATTATAAGTACAGAAAGAGAAGGGACATACGGAGATTACTCAGATCATCAAAGATTATGTCAATGCTGGAATTATGATCCCCACTACGTCTGCATGGAATAATCCTATTTGGCCAGTCAAGAAAACTGATGGCTCTTGGAGAATGACTGCAGATTATTGGGAGCTAAACAAAGTAACTTCCCCTCTTACTGCTGCTGTGCCAGATACAGTTACTCTAATTGAACACATCCAATCTCACCATGGTACATGGTATGCTGTTATAGATGTTGCTAAAGCTTTCTTTACCATACCCATTGATCCTAAGCAATGGGAGCATTTTGCCTTCACCTGGCAAGGGTGACAATATACCTTTACTAGGATGTGCCAGGGCTACAAATACAGCCCTACAATTTGTCATCGGTTGATTGCAGAACATTTAGATGAATGTGAGATTCACCCCAGTCTCCTTATCACTCATTATATAGATGATATCCTCATACAGGGTCCCACAGAGGACTCTGTAAGGTATTATTTGGAACAGATCGTCACTTATTTGAAACAAAAAGGTTGGGAGATAAATCCCAATAAAATTCAGTGACCGGCTCAAGAAGTAAAATGTTTAGGGATACATTGGAATTTTGGGCATTGGGCCATTCTACCGAAGGCCCAACAGAAAATTTTGGATTTTGCTGTCCCACGAAATAAGAAAGAAGCTCAGAAATTTATTGGTCTTTTTGGATATTGGAGGAATCATATTCCTCATTTGGGACAAATCTTGCAGCCCCCATACAAAGTTACTAGGAAAAAATATGAATTTAATTGGTGGTCTGAATAAGCCCAGGCCTTTGAGGCAGCAAAGGCTGCAACCCAAGCAGCCCTGGATCTTTGGCCCATACGAGAGGGACCATTAGAACTTATGGTTACCGTGGGTTCAGGATATGCTAATTGGAGTCTGTGGCAAAAGCAGGACTCGAAACGGGTCCCCCTCGGTTTGGGGGCATGTAAATTACCTGAAGCTGGGCAGAACTATACTCCATTTGAACAGCAACTGCTTGCAGCATATTGGGCATTAACCAAGACAGAACAACTAACTCTCAACCATGAAGTGGCTTTGAGGCCCAGAATCCCTATCATGCAATGGATCATGAGTGACCCTGTTTCTCATAAGATTGAGCATGCCCAGGAACCCAGCATAATTACATGGAAATGGTATATTCAAAGTAGAGCTAAAACAGGCCCCTCTGGAGTACTGTCTTTACATGAGCAAGTAATAGAAGCCCCAATAAAAGATGATGATTTTCAGCCTATCGCAATTGAGAGGACCAACTCTCCTGTGGTATACAATCATGGTTATAACTCTCTCTCGGCTGAACAGAAGAGACATGCATGGTTCACCGATGGGTCTGCACGATATATTGGCAATACTTGATACTGGAAAGCTGTTACTTATAATCCAGTTAAAAAGATGGTGCTTGAAACCAGCGGTGAGGGAAGAGTAGTCAATTTGCTGAATTACAAGCAGCCTATCAGGCTATGAATTTTAAGAGAGATGATCAATATCATATTTTCACTGATTCATGGGCCGTGGCAAAAGGCTTAGGAACATGGATGCCTAAATGGGAAAAGGACCAATGGAAAATTTATGATAAAGAATTATGGGGGCGCCGATATTTGGAAAGATATATGGGAAATTGCAAAGACCACTAACCTATCTGTATTTCATGTAGATGCTCATGCAAAGAAGACTTCTGTGGAACATGAGTATAATGCTGACGTGGACCGTTTGGCAGCCATAGCTGAAGTAGAACGTTCTACTCCCATCAGTGACGAGACCTTAGCTCTTGCACGATGGATTCATCAAAAAACAGGACATGCTGGCCCCGCCACTATGCACAGGTGGGCACAGGACTGGGGAATAAGTGTACCAATGTCTGATTTTAAAACTACTAAAGAACAATGTACCGCATGTCAATTGGATGAACAAAGGCCTTTGCCTAAAATTGTAACTGGAGAATTACTACGGGGCAAGGCTCCAGTCCAAATTTGGCAAATTGACTATATTGGACCTCTGCCCGTTTCCAAAGGATGTAGATACATCTGTACCTGTGTTGATACCTATTCGGGGGTCCTAATTGCCTGTGCATACAAGCGAGCCACCCAAAATAATACCATTAGAACTCTTGATATTATCGCTCTATATTATGGGATATCCTTACAGATTCAGAGTGATAATGGGTCTCATTTTAAAGGTAAGGCAATTACTGAATATTGTGAAAAGTATAATATAGAGTGGATATACCATATTATCCACAGGCAGCCAGATTAATAGAATGAATGAATGGCCTTCTCAAGGAGAAATTATGGAAAATAGGATCCTCTGCAGGATCTAATTCATATTATCATTGGAAAGATAATCTTTTTGAGGCCTTGCAGCAATTAAATAATTGTGTACTTGGAGAAGGAGGAACTCCTCTCTCTCGTATGATGACTCCGAATTTACAGATTAGGAAAACTAATATATTCCAAACCTTGAAATGGTGGGCAATGCACCTCAATGCTCAAGCTCCCTATACAGGTACAACAGCTTCTGCTGGACATGACCTTCATAATGTAGAGGAAATATGGCTGGATCCCAATACAACTAAGATTGTTTCAACAGGACTAGGTAATAAGATTCCTAAGGGATATTATGGGCAAATAGCCCCATGATCCAGCCTAGCCCAAAAGGGAATTTAAATAATGGCAGGTATCATTGTCTCAGATTACGTGGGTGAAATTAAAGTTCTACTGCATAATGTTTCTAAGGAAACTTTACATTTCATGCCTGGTACTCGGATTGCACAAATACTAATTGTTCCCCATGCTTCTACTGATTACTGGGAAAAATTAGATATTCCCCCCAACGCCACCACTCGATACGGTGGCTTTGACTCAACTGATTACATGGCTGGCACCAAGGTATGGGCCAGGAGACATTCCACTGATCCTCCCAGGGCCGGAGAAGTAATAGCACAAGGAGGCAACAATGTAGTTGTTGTCATGTTCCCCGGACAGGAACAACCCAAAATGTACCCTACTAATCAGTTGTTTTTATGCAATTAGATAATTTTCTGCTGGACTCTGCTGATATGGACGCCTCTGCTGGCGGAGGCATGGACCCCTGGGACCCAGCTGCATCCATACAATGGAACCAGCCCCATAACTCTCCATTGGAGTTGGCTAAATGATGCCAAACCTCGTTCACAAGACAGCTTCAATTGTCCTACGAATCAATGGTGTGTCATTGTCAATGGTACAGTTACAGGCAACAACCTTACTGCATGGATGGACGGCCACGAAAACCCATATCGAATGGCCGTCACTGGTTCTTCACCTATATTTATTAATTTTTCTTCTGCAGTGAATATTTCCTGCTGTACTGCTAATCTCACCCTTTGGCATAATCGATATCGCCACCTGTGTGAAGCAGTTAAAATGTATTACCTCCAATTTAGCCACCATGAACTTTACTGTAGAAGCCTCTCAATTTATTATTTGTAGTAATACAAATTAAACTGAAATTAAAAATTGCACCATTTGGGGCGACTATGTATGGATTTCTGTGCAGAAGCCCCCTCAGAATGCTACTCCTCAAATAGTGTGTACACCGTGCACTTGCACTAATGTTTCTATTGCAGCACCCCAGAAATTGATTCATTTTAACATATCCTTTCCCCCTTTACCTAAATGTAATAGAAGATGCTGTGCTTGGTATGATACTTTGTTGAGTGGTCTTGGTTCTGGATTTGGTATAGCTAATTCTATAGATTTAGAAGCGTTAGCCTCTTGCCTATGAAATACTGGATCAGATGTGTCCCAAGCAGTGACCCTGAATGCTCAATGGCTACTCACAACTGTCACTCCTCATGTTAAGACCCTGCAATATCAACAAGAAATGTTGCAAATTTTTAATGCCTCAAATATTAATCAATTCAAGCTTGATACTAATATTAGTTTCCTATTCAATTGGACAAAATGTTCACTGCAACTGTTATATGTTTTAATTCAGAAAGAAAATGCACAATGTATATTGACACAGGGGGGATACTAGCACTTTGAGGTCAATGTTTCCTATACCCCATAGTTCTAGAATAGCTACTAATAAACCCAATGTAACTTGTACTTCCTTGTGGTACATTGGCACCATAACATGTTATCTCCCCAAGACGACCAAGATGTTATGCTCCTTTCACACCTTACCCATTATCAAAAGAAACTATTTCTTGCAACCCCAAATAGAGGGTACATTTATAGATTCTAGTAATGTTACTTATAAACTTACTGATTGTGTACCTACAGATAGAGGGCCGACTTGTAATGGCTTACTCCGAATAATGGAGCCTTGTTTGTTAACTCATTCTATTAACCTGTGTATTCTTACTGTATATCCCTTGGTTAACTTTTCTGTTCTGTATGAGGTTGAGCCTCAACATGTTTGCTTTGCTAGTTAAAACACTGCTGAGCTACTTGCTATGGGACTGTCTTCTCCATATTCAGGATGTCTGCAGCATCTTGAAGTGCTCCACTGGAACGGTGATGTCTTCTACTTGGTTCCCAATCTAGAGGATGATGAAACTCTTACTTGGATCCCTTGCAGCTTACGCCCTCCAACTACTTATTTGCATCTTGCATTGGCTCAAGTTCTACAGAACTCTCAACTATTGGCTCAACATTTACTAAATAGCACATGAACCCTTGCTGAACATAGGTTGGCTACCACAATTGTGGCCAACCAACTACAAGGACTTTCACATGTTATAGCGCGAGATTCAAATCATAATTGGTATGACTTCTTATTTGGAAGCACTAAGGCTCATAAGTATTTCACTGCTATATTTACTCCTGTAATAATAATCATTGTGGTATTAATCCTCTTATGCTTATGTAACTGTTGGATGTATCGCCATATGCAAACTATATATACTACCTTCATGCTGCGTCATGTACAATCTAATTAGGCCTATTCCCCCAAGCAACCCTACGGCCGAATTGTATGAGAATTTAGAAGGCAAAAGGCCTGCCTAGGGTCATATGATTGGATTCATGGCTTAGGTATGCACTTACTCTCTGGAGGATTGGCTACCCTCCAGGGATGTAAGGGACCAGATGTGGAGCTTGCCCAAGGTCTTCAAGACTGGGCTGAGCTCCAAGGACGAGTCCTAATCAGTGCCACGGGCTAGCCCCGGCTCCTGGCCAGATCCGGGGCTGGTCTCCTGTATTGCTTATGCATACGCCATTTGGCTCTAAGCCACCTTTGTTAGAAAACCCTTAAGAAGCCCCAGGAGGCAGGGATGAGCAAAAGCTCTTCCTCAACAGATTCCGCTGTGTCATTACTCTGAGAAATGCCCATGATGCTCAGATTCCGGTGCTGAACTGCCCGTGATGCTCTGATTCCGGTGCTGAACTGCCCGTGATGCTCAGATTCCGGTTCTGAACTGCCCGTGATGCTCTGATTCCGGTGCTGAACTGCCTGTGATGCTCTGATTCCGGTGCTGAACTGCCCGTGATGCTCTGATTCCGGTGCTGAATTAGATAAAGGGGCCCTGGTGGTATCATGTAACTATTTTTCTATTTCCTTGTGACTATTTACTTTCTATTTCCCTTAGCTCTTTCCCTGTTAACAATAAATCTCTTATCTACCCCAAGTGGCTTGTGGTGGTGTGTCTTGTGTATCGAACCCCAAAATAGAACTCAGTCTGTGCACAGCTATCGATATAGATTAATTATCGATACAACCATGCAAACACTATTCAAAATAAAGCTGGAGTGGCTATGCTAAGGCCAGACAAAATGGACTTCAGACCAAAAGAGGGACACTGAATAATAATAAAAGAGCAAGTAAACAAGAAGACATATCAATCTTAAATGTGTAAGCACTTAACAACAGAGCTCCAAAACACATGAAGCAAAAACTAAAAGAACTGAGAGGAGAAATAGGCAAATTCTCAATTATACTTGGAGACATTAATATTTGTATATCAATAATAAATGTAATAGAGGGAGGAAAATGGCCGCGGTAAGGAAGTCACTGAATTAGCTCGCGCAAACCACGGCAGCGAAAACACAACTCTGCGGGACACGCTGAGCAGCAAAGGGACTCCC